CCACACGAAAAAACCCTCTCTTCAACCCTCCCCCCAAAAAACCAAAAACCAAAAAACAACAACAACAACAACAACAATAAAACACACAAACACACACCCGTATACCCGCACAGGTTTAAATTTCAATACCCCCAAATGATGAAAAGCAACGTTGGGCGTCTCCACTTGGAATGAAAGGACTGTGGTATAATACATAGCACCTCATAAATAAAAAGACTAAAAGAGGAGTAGAGTAAGGCAACTATGCCATTGCAATACAGACGAAAAAAAGCAAAACAAAACAAAACAAATTATTATTAATAGAGATGTGCAAAAAGACTTAGAGTACCGGCGTGTTGCAGAAAGGCGCTAAGATCTAGCCGTCACACTCAGTAGATTCAGATATGGGTTCGATTCCCGAGTGGAAATGAGCTTTAGTTTTAGTTTTAATAAGAGTTTTACGGCACTTGCAACACAATAAGGTCATATAAGTGCAGAAGATTAGAGGTGTTACAAGAGAGTAACAAACAGGAAAAAGAAAGAGGAGAGATAAGGACGATACTTGTTTGATAGGACAGAAGGAGCAACCCACACCAGAGCACCCGCCAACCACCCACGGAAATAAGTTTTTATCGAGAATCTAGGTCTGTTTGGTAGGATGTTACATCCCTTTCAACCCGTGTTGGCACTCAGCGCTGATCGACTGAGTCGAAACCCGCCTCCTAAATTTTAATGATCTCAGTGGGTGCTGGCGGGTGCTCTGGCGTGGTATGCTCCTTCTTTCTTATCAAACATCTTTCGTCCTGATCTCCCCTTCTTTTTTTTTTCGTGCTTGTTACTCTCTTGTAACACCTCTAAACATCTTCTGGCGCTCATAAGTAGTTGCGAGCGCCGTAAAACAGCTGCTAAAACTAAAACTAAAACTAAAATGATCTCAGTTGTGTTGATGGCGGCGTAAAAACATCTGTACCTGCGTAATACGGTAATGAACAGCATTCAGTTTTAGTAAGAGTTTTACTGCACTTGCAACTTAATAAGGCCATTTCAGTGCCGAAGATTAGAGGTGTTACTTATAAAAAAGTAACAAACACAACGAAAGGAGGAGAGAGAAGGACGATATATATTTTTATAGGAAAGAAGGAGCAAACACACCAGAGCACCCGCCAGCCACCCACTAACCCACAAGTTTAAATGATCTCAATTGTGTTGATGGGGGCGTAAAATCTATTATGCACACCTTCTTAAAGAACAGCATTAACACACAAGTAAGCAGGCACACAAATAGAGAAAAACAAACATATTATGTGGAAAAGAAAAAAAACAGGAATACACAGGATTTTTGTTTCTGATATTTTCAAATTTTATTGCCAGCGTTGTGTAGAGGCGTCTGCAGACAAAATAAGCAATACTGTAACACACCAATGTCCACACTCATAACAATATGGATAGGCCTAAAATATGCATGCGTGTCTATATATACAATATGTATATAAAATACATACATACATGTAATGTATTATGATATGTGTGTATGTGTGGGTGTGTGTGTTTGTGTGTATATGTGTGTGTGAGTGTTTATATGTTAACGTGTGTATGTGTGTGTGTTTATGTGTTTATGCGTGTGTGTGTGTGTGTGTGTGTGTGTGTGTGTTTGTGTGTGTTTATGTGTGTGCACGTGTGTGTGTGTGTGTGCTTCTGGGTGCTTTTGAGTGAATGTGTGTGTCCTGAGAGTTAACAACAATAATGCAACACATCATTGTCAACACAGGGGACAAAACATCACGTGCGTCCAACGTGTCAACTATATTTTAAACAACATGACACTTTAAAAACACGACAATAACTAATTATCCCGACCAATTAGAATACTTGTGAAACAACAATACTACAGTAAGTTGAGTAAGAGCAGTAAAAAATGCAATATCAATCAGTCGAGATCGTTGCTTTTGAGAAGACCCACACACCAGCTAGCAGAAAGCAAGCGGGGAGCTACAGAAATCACAGTTTTATGGCACAATTGGATTTGAACAACAGTGCTCAAGACAACACTAGGAACGATAGGATAAAATGCTGACACAGTAGAGAAGTAAGAGAGTTTCGGTCGGAAAGGAGTGTTTGTTTGTGTTTGTGAGTAGGGGG